GGCAGCCTATGCTGCTGGTGGTGCTAGTGGTGGCAGTCTAGGCAGCTGCTGGTGCTACTGGTGCTACTTGTGGCAGCCTAAGCCGCTGCTAGTGCAATAGGGGCAGCCTATGCTGTCAGAGGTCCACTGGTGATCCCCGATTGATCCTAGGGAAGGGCCTGGGGGGGGGGGGCGGGGGGGGGGTGGGGGGGGGGGGGGGGGGAAGGGGGCGCTACTGAAGGCCCGCGGGGCCTGCTAACGCGTGGGCCACGGAGCCTGCTAAAGCGTGGGCCGCGGGGCCTGCGCTCTATGGTCGCGTGCTAAAAAAACGGACAGGGGGGGGGTCGTCGAGCACAGGCCACGGGGCCCGCTACTGAAGGCCGCGGGGCCTGCTAACGCGTGGGCCGCGGGGCCTGCTAAAGCGTGGGCCGCGGGGCCTGCGCTCTATGGTCGCGTGCTAAAAAAACGGACAAGGGGGGGGGTCGTCGAGCACAGGCCACGGGGCCCGCTACTGAAGGCCGCGGGGCCTGCTAACGCGTGGGCCGCGGGGCCTGCGCTCTATGGTCGCGTGCTAAAAAAACGGACAGGGGGGGGGTCGTCGAGCACAGGCCACGGGGCCCGCTACTGAAGGCCGCGGGGCCTGCTAACGCGTGGGCCGCGGGGCCTGCTAACGCGTGGGCCGCGGGGCCTGATATCACGTGGGCCGCGGGGCCTGCATTCTACCATCGCGGGCGGAAAACGGACGGTGAGGGGGGGGGGGGGGGTCGAACGAGCGACGGTGGGAAAATCGCGACACGCTACAGGCGACGGTCGACGTGCGACGGGCGACGGGTGACGCGCCACGAGGCGCGCGTTATCACAGGGCGCGCGTTAGTACAAGGCGCGCGGGTCATGGGCCCATGACTATCGAGTGAAATTTTGCCTAGGGAAAAATCGCATAGAGAGAAATCGACTAGGGGAAAAATCGCCTAGGGAGGAACCTAGCTCTATACCATGTTACAATGTGAGAATGAATGATTAACAATGAACAAAACAAAAAAGATATATGCAAGGCTAACCCTAACCGTAGCACAACAATTACACCGAGACTAGAACTAACATAACTATATAAATATAGTTTGACACAGTGACCTCGACAGGCTCAGCCAGCGGGAGTGGGTCTACCTGAGACACACCTGAGGGAGCAGGACCCTGAGGGGGGAGGGGGTCTACAGGAGGGGGACCTGGAGCGAGGAAGAGCTGCGGGGGGGGAGAGTGGCAGTGCGGTAGGGGAAGAGACGGTAAAAGGGAACTGACTCGTCAAATGTGACATCCTGAGAGGGCAGGACACGGCGCAAGGTGGGGTGGTAAAACTGCCAGCCAGGCGCGTCATGGGGAAAGCCAAGGAAGACGCAGGGAATGGCACGGGAGGAGAGCTTGTCCACAGAAGTATCGCAGACCAAGGCACGAGAGCCCCAGACCCGGAACACCGACGCATCGCCAACCTTCCCCGTCCAACGCAGTGTAGGTGAGGTCTCCGGCAAGGAGACACGAGGCCAGAGGTTGAGCTGATGCGCATCGTACCGGACCGCAAACGGCCACAGAAAATGGGGAGCAGTCGCATGGATCATGGAGGTACGAGCGACCTCCATGACTAAGCCAATGCGGTGCTCAGCAACCCCATTTTGCTGCGGGGAGGCCGGAAGCGTGAACGATTGGAGAATGCCCTCCCCACAACAAAAGTCCCGCAAGAGGTCGGAGGAGAACTCACCACCTCTGTCAGAGTGCAGACGCAGGTTAGGAAGGTCCTTGCGGAACCGCTCGCGGAGGTGGAGACGGTCTGCGCGGATCCAAGGGATCAAGACATCAGGGACCTCACCCTTGTTGCGCAAGGGGAAGACCGTGGTATAACGCGTGTAGTCGTCAACAACCAGCAGAAATTAGCGCTCGCGGCCCTGCCCACTGACGCGGGCTGGGCCCCACACGTCCATGTGGAGAGTCTGCAGGGGAGTAGTCGTCGGGGGAAACAAGGAGGAGTGAGGAGCGGCGCGCTGCCGCCCCTCGACGCAAGGAAGGCAGGGCGGGGCAGGCGAGGGCGGGAGGGGGGGCAGAGACTTGGGAAGACCAGAAATAAGGAGGCGGGAGTGCATGCCACGAAGGCTTGGCGGGGAGGGGTGACCAAGGTGGTGGTGCCAAAGGAGAGTCTGGTGCGACAGGAGGCGACACGAGCAGGGGGCTGCTACCGGACCTGACGCGAACATCTGAGCAGACGCAGCTACCTGAGGAGGCTCGGTAGCCAGTGTGTACAGACTCGACCCAGGCCGACGGGTGAACGTGGCCAGGTGACGGCCCGTCCGTGTACACGTGCAGATCGCCACACGCTGACCCCCAGTAGTGGTGGTAGTGACCATCGCATCCTGGAGGGCAGCGGTACTCACCAAGTTTGAAGAGAACGAGGGGAGGTGAAGACCTGAGAGTGAGCCGGTCGGAAATGCCGGACCTTGGAGAACAATGGAGGAACGTGCAAGCATTGGGCATCCTGAGGGGTCAGCCAGTCTGACTGGAATAGGTGCAGGGAGTGGATTGAGAGTGGTACTGTCGTGAAAGAAACAGCGGAAAGCACCTGAGTCAAATGTGAAGGTGTGCAAGGCCTCAGCAGGCGCAGTATCAGGGAGAGCAGACTCACTAGCACCTAGAGCAACAGCATCTATACCTGGGTCGGGCGGCACATACAGGTAACACTCACCCTCAGCACTAACAGTCAAGGCATGCATGGCAGCAATGATAGCATCATAGTTAAGAGGAAAGATATCAACACCAGACCTAAGCAACTCTAGCCAGCGGGGGCACTCAGCCTTGTTGCCAAACTCTGCGCGCCAAGCGTCGTTAAGGCGGGAGAAGCAGTGGTGCTGTGTGTGAAACTTCCCACATGTCTGACTAGCGCGGTCACCTATTCGAATGACATACGGGCATCGAACACTACCCCCAGACGCCCCACGCTGAGCAAACCACTCACGAAGTTGCTGGGGCGTAGGGGTTTCGCTCGGACGCTGCTGCTGCTGCCTCTGGCCACTGCCAGATACTCCCCTGTAAACAGCTCCACCCCGACCGCCACCACTGCCGCCGCCACCACTCCCACTGCCACCACCACCGCCACCACCACTCCCACCGCTGCCACCACCGCCGCCACCGAAGGCCCCACTCCCGCCACCACTCCCACCGCCACCTCCGCCACCTCCACCACCTCCACCGCCTCCACCACCACCACCCCCGCTGCCACCTCCACCACTCTTGCCTCCCTTGCCGTTGCCGTTGCGGCGCTTCGCACTAGGAGCAGAAGCAGCCCCGACCTCCTCAGTACCAAGGATGTCTACAGCAGCAGCAGAAGTGTAGGAGGGGGCAAGGGGGGAGGGGGAACACCCCTCAAAGAAGGGTGTGCGAGGAGTGTCACGAGCCGCACCTACAGCGACGATGCTAGTCTCAGCTACAAGTAGGTGCTTCTTGAGCAGGTCGACAGTGAGGTCTGTGGGAAGAGAGTCAGGGAGGCGGGTGACTATGAAGTAGAGAGTGATGTACATCGGGTGCGGGTTCTTGTCTAGGAACTCGGCTTTGAGGGCAGCGCGGTAGCGAGTGTTGCTAGTGCGAAGGTGGATGATGAGGTCCTCGACTGTGGCAAAGGCTGACAGCTCGGGAAAAAGGTAGGGCAGTATAAGGCGGCCGAGAGCAGCAGTGGCAGGGGAAGAGTAACGAGCGACTACAGCGTCGTACAGGGCTTTAGCAGTCTTGTGCTGGCCAAAGTGAGTGCGTTCGGCTAACGACAGGTGATTGCGAACGGCTAAGCAAGCAGCAGCGTCACGGGTAAGCCACTGTGAGCGAGTCCCACTGTGAGCGAGTCCCACTGTCAGCTGTATCGGGAGGGGCGAGAGAGGCTCCAAACGTGTGGTCAAACAACGAAGCGATGTCTCTAGAATCGCTCAGTAGGTACAGCTGTAAGTCATCGAGCCACGTATCGAACTGGATCGGACGGCCCTCAAGATCGAATGTGAGAACCCTGAGAGTAGCCATAGCGGGCAGAGCAGGGTGGCGCGTGACGAGCAGGGCGGCGCGAGTGCACGAGGAAAACGCTTAGGGCAGGGCAGGGCAGTGCACGACCAAGACAGGGAGGCACGTAGGGCGGGGAAGGGCAGCGCGCGGGCAGGAAATGGCGGCGCGCGGCTAGCAGAGCGGCGCGCGGGCAGGCTGCAGGGCGGCGCGCGGGCAGGAACGGCGGCGCGCGGTGAGTAGGGCGGTGCGCGGGCAGGAAAGGGGTGGCGCGCGGCCAGCAGGGCAGCGCGCGGGATGCAAAGGGCGGCGCGGCGGCCAGCGGCGCGGCTCGCGGGCAGGGCAGGGCGGCGCGCCAGGCAGGGCAGGGCGGCGCGGCAGCCAGCAGGGCGGCGCGCGGCTAGCAGGGCGGCACGGCAGTTAGCAGGGCGGCGCGTGGCCAGCAGGGTGGCGCGACGGGCAAGGCAGGGCAGCGCGACTGGTGGGGCAGCGCGACGGGCAGGGTAGGGCACTACGAGCAGGGTAACGCGCTACGGGCAGGGAACTATTCGGTGGGCCCTAAAGAAAACGGTCTTGGAACAGGACCCGCTCTGAAACCATGTCAGAATACCGAACGAGAATGAATGCATTGACAAGAAACCGAGTACAAGTACTAACCCTAATTGGGTTGTACCCCTTATGGGCTACCCCACTGCAGCCTACACAATATAAAGATTATAACAGTTTGACATAAAGATAATAGCATAAGTTCCCCTTTCAGATAAAACACCAACGGGCTGGATATTATGGTGGGGTGCTTTAACAGGAGAGTCATGGCCCGTTTCTAAACTATCGTAACTTACTGTAATAGAAGCAACATGTGGTCATGTTTCGCCTCCTGTTACTTAGGCAGCTGGCTGTTCCCTAAACAGAGCATAGTGCAACAATAACTCCCTTTCACCCTCCCGCCTCTCACTCCGAGCCAAACCATGTTCAGTGTGCATGAGAGTGGGCTCAACCCATCAGTCGGTGATGAGGTGCTGGCACAGGATGTCCACGCCAATCCACGCAAAGCTCAGAAACACCGGCGCCACGCTCAGCCCGAAACCGCGTGCCTCCTGCTGCACGCGCTGCAGCTCGGAGGGGTGATAGCACACATGGTACCACGCAAAGGCCCGCGCCCGCACGGTTGCGTGGTCAAGACGTGTTGCCTCTTCCATAGCCTGTTGCACACAACAGGACACACACCAACCACAACAGAACTGTAACCAGCTTGCAAACGCAGAACAGTTATTCTTTCAGAATGCCATGCACGTACAAATTGTGATGTACAAATTGTGATATGGGTAGAGACAAGGCATGCAAAAGCAAAAGTTCCATGTAGCATTGCAGCAAGGAGTAGGCACGCCCCCACCCCAGCACTCACCTCAGCGCCGGGCTTGCGGGCAGTGGGTGCATCGTCCGGCAGCATGGCCTTGATGCCCTGCACCACGTTCACCTTGGACGTCACCCGCAGCCGCGGATCCTTCTGCTGCTGCCGCCGCTGCTGCTGCTTTGTGCGAGCAGCGGGGGAGGAGGTATCACTCCTGTCGTCATCATCATCGTCGTCTTCTCCCCGTCCGTGATCTGCCCCGCACACGAGCAGGCGGTGGTAGTGGCGGCGCAGGTTGATGTACATGTTGCGCACGTGCTCGCGCACGGCATCGTCCTTGCGCCCATTGTGCTGGGCTGCCTGCAGCATGCTGCCCGATGCCACCTCTGCCTCCGTCATGATGCCAAACTGCTCGCACCATGGGTGGAGGGCACACATGGTTACATACATGGATAAGCACATGCCTGCTGCAAGATTCACCAGAAGAGAAACACGGGCTATATAGAAGGCTGCCTGGTGGCTACCTGGTGCGTACCTGGTGCACACCTGGTGCCCACCGGGTACCCACCTGGAGCCTACCAGAGCCTATCTGGTTGGCGCCTACGTTGCGCCCACCTGGCGCCCACCTGGCGCCCACCTGGCGCTCACCTGGTGCCCACCTGGTGCAGGATGTGCAGCATGGAGCGGTCATACGCCCACTTGAGCGCCCTGGCCTCCTGCACGTGCTGCTCATACCCCTCCACCCTGAGGTCCTCCCTGTATGTGCGCCCCACCTCGTCCACGCCCGGCCACCGCAGCCACGTGCGCCCATCCTCCAGCACCGCCACCTCGCCCTCCCACCCCATGCTCTCCCCCGCGCCCTCCCTCACCTCCCTCCCCTCCCTCACCACCCGCGCCACCTCCTCCTCCCGCTCCCTCCGCTCCTGCGCCATCTCCTGCCCACCCGCCCCCTCCTCCTCCGCCACAGCCGGCACCACGCGAGGCAGATCGTCATCCTCATGCACCACAGCAGTGTCTTTCACCTCGCGGTACAACCGCCCCAGCACCTTATCCGACTCATACGTCTCCTTACTGGCGCCCTTCTCCATGAAGTCGGGGTATTCCTGCACGCGCAGGTCGCGCGGCATTTGCCCCGCCACGCCCGTCTTGCAGAAGTCGAACGCGATGGCGGCCTCGCGCGCCAGGCGCACGCACGCGGGGTCGGACGCCTGCTGGGCGCTGCGGTCCGCGTGCACGACGTGCGCGTTGCAGATGATGCCCACGCTGTCGTTCAACATGTGGTCCACAAAGAATCGGTGCATGTCCTGCCGTGGTGCGATGGGCACGGGCGTGGAGGGAAGGGGACTGGCGAGAAGGTTGGATGTTGGTTTTGGTTTTGGGACGCAAGAACTGCTGGAACAGGAACGGGAGGCACCTTATGCAGCAGATTTTGCAACAGGACAGATCTATCAACAGGACGAAAGAGCAAGACGAAGTAGGAAGCAGTGGAGCCCCACCTTCATGGTGACAGCAGTCTTGCCCTCCTTCTTCACCGGCTGATAATCCATCGGGTCACTACTCCACCCGGACGGCGGCATGAGGCGTGCGTCCCACGTGACAAAGTACACGTCCCCGTCCATGTCACTCCCTGATGCCTCGTTGGCGTGCGGGCGCGGGCCCTTCTTGGGCAGCACAAGACAGTCCACGAGATGGTGCAGGCACGGCACGTCCACGGCTGTGAGCACGCGCAGGTCCCCCGGGTGCAGGCAGGGGTTCTTGCCGAAGACTATGGGGCCTGTTATCACTTGCGGCGCGCCCAGCCCACGCCCTGTGCTGTGCACCGTGGGCGCCAGGATGGGGGCTTCGGGGGAAGAGGTGGCGGCGGTGGAGAGGGATATGGGCGCTGTGGTGTCGCACACTCGGATGAAGCACTGGCCGTACTGTGTACAGGAAGAAACATGGGAGGTGACAATCAGGTTTGAAGCAGCATGGTGGGATGCCTTGGGCGAAGCTACTGAAGTAGACAAGGGACAAAGAGCAAGCAAGCAGTCTTCATATGGCTCTTGGTAGTTTCATCTCTTGAACATTGAGTCATTTTCCATGATACGTTACGTACTTGCAGCTCTTGCCACATGGATAACAGACAATGGAATGGGCGGCCAATGCATAGATATTGAAGGGACAAGAGACCCGCAGAAGGCGGAACTGAGACCTTTGAAGGAGAAGCCCAAGTGAAGAAACGCAGCGCTTCGGTCAATAAATGATGCACTCCTTTGAATGCAATTGCAACCTGCCTGCCACTCGCTCACAGAATGAACCTTCACATCACACGCCCTCTGCTCTCACCCAGCTTCTAAACCACCTCACCCCGCGCACCTGACCCCGCGCACCTCACCCCGCGCACCTCACCTCCAGCAGCCCCGTCTCGTCCACCACGCCCATGAGCCAGCGCCCGTGCTTCACGAATATGCGCGCCTTCGATATCAGCCCCTGCAGCTGCAGCGACCTGCACACACATGGATGGCGGGTGCGTGCGGGGAGAAGAGGTAAGAGGCAGGAAATATGGTTAAGTCATGTGTGGCAATGTGGGCACATGTGGATGACAGTGGCTGTTAGCTAGTGAGTGACCGGATAAGGGAGAGGCATGAGAAACGGATGGAGGTGGTGGAAGAGAAGCACAGTGTACGTATTTGTGGGAGAAATCGTGTGCAAACTTCTCCACAAACAGCACAGCAGCGCGTGCATTACCTTACGGCGCGCATCATGCGCTTGAGGTGAGGCTCGCGGTGGGGGTGGAAGCCGGCAGAGAGCATGGTCATGGCGACGTTGTAGAGGTCGTCCGCACATGACTCCTCCAACAGCTGCAGTGCTGCCTCGCGCTCACTCAGCGCCCGGTCCAACTGCTGCAGCATGGCATCCTGGCGGGCACGTGCGTGCAGGGCGGGCAGGGAGGGAGCAGAGATGCATGTGTGCCGGGAGCATGCGCGTAAGGGGGACACCGTGGAAGTGAGTTCGGCAGGGTGAATCCGTGCATTGTTGTTGAGAGAAGAGATAGAAGGAGCATAGCTGACATTGCTTTGAATGCATGCTGCTGGGGTAGCAAATGGGCCGTGGATGGGGAGGCATGAGGTAGCCAATGGGTCGTGTGGGAGAAGAGGAATGGAGGAGAGATTAATGAAATTGTACAACAGTAATGCACACGAGGGGCTTGTGATAGGTCAAGGGCAGCGGAATTGGTGGAGAGAGCAGGGAGCAGGCGTGCACTGACCTGCATGTGTAGAAAGACGTGATCTTGCACTCCCATGGTGGCCAGCAGTGTGATGATCTGGCGGTTGAGGAAGCACGGCAGGGGGCGCGTCCAGTTCACCACCTCCACATCTGCATGCTGCGACTCAAACTTGTCCATGCTGGGCCGTATCCACATGTGCGCCACTGCTGCTGCCCCTGCCCCTGCTGCACTTGCTGCACTGCCTTCACGCTCTGCTGCACTGCCTTCACGCTCTGCTGCCAGGCCTGGGCGGGCATCATTCAACGCAGCACCATCCATATGTGCACCACCGCTGCCACTTGCACATGCGCCCTCCCCTGCATGCATCCATGAGTCAGTGGCGTAGTCCCCTTCGCGGAACATCAGATTCTCCACCTGTCCCTGCTGCACACCATTTATGTCCGCACCACCCATGGCACTCGCACCCCTGCTGCCGCTGCTGCCACTGCTGCCATTGCTGCCTGGCTGCCTGTGCAGCTCTGCCTCGTGCTCCACTTGCTGCATGACCCAGCGCGGCCACACCGTGATGACCCCCTTCACCCCCGCATACCGGATCTGAAACGCTGATGGTGCACGCAGCAATGCCCTCCCCTGCTCCACCGCACTTCCCTTCTTCCCTTTTGTCCCACTGCTGCCAGCCCCACTCCCACTCTCGTTCGCATTTGCACCCCCACTATCCTTCGTGTTCCCACTCCCACTCTCCTTCTCACTCCCATTCTCCTTCGGACTCCCACTCCCACTATCCTTCTCATTCGCAGTCCCATTCTCCTTCACACTCCCACTCCCACTGTCCTTCTCATTCTCACTCCCACTCTCCTTCTTGTTCCCACTCCCACTTTCCTTCTCATTCCCCGTCCCACTCTCCTTCTCATTCCCACTCCCACTCTCCATCGCATTTCCACTCCCACTCTCCTTATCATTCTGTTTCCCACTCTCCTTCACATTTCCACTCCCACTCTCCTTATCATTCCGTTTCCCACTCTCCTTCACATTTCCACTCCCACTCTCCTTATCATTCCCATCCCCACTCTCCTCATTCCCACTACCACTCTCCTTCTTATCCCCACTACTACCCTCCGCAGCACCACCCCCAGCATCACCTCCACTGCTTCCCCCACTCTCACCACCACCCACATCAACCTCTCCACCACACATCCCAGAATCAGCCTCACTCCACCCGTCACCCACGGGCCTGTCAAGGTAGGGAGCAATGGCGTCTGCGAGGGCCATGCCCACCTCGGGGGAGACGGCACCCACACCGTCCGTGAAGCAGAAGGCATTACGTGTGACGTCGGGCAGCTTGCGCACGTGGGCGCGCGGGAGGGGCAGCGAGGTGAAGCGCGAGGAGAAGCACTGCCCCATGCGCGCCGCACACTTGGCCACGTTGCGGATGGCTGAGAAGGTGCCCATCCACGCCTGGTGTTGTTGCTCCCCCCTCCCATCCCCCCACCCCCCTCCCTCATGCCGTTCGCCACAGAAACCCATACGCACCAACATGCACCAACACGCACCCAAATGCAGAGAAAAAGATAAAGCAGGTGGTGAGGGAGATTCAGAGAAAGAGACACACGATCGGGGGTGCGGTCGTGGTGGCAAGGCAATGGGGGGGGGGAGAAGGCGTGGTGCTGAAGCGTACACCACAGCACCGAAAACAGCAGTGCGGAACACCAAAGGCAGGATTGGCAAGCACCACTGCCCCCATCACACTCTTTCCTAACCTCCCCTACAGTAACACCAGAGCATGCCTTGGCCCTCCCCACACCAACCCAGAACCCAGGCCCCGGGCCATTTGCGTGCATCTTCCCTGCCCTGTGTGCAGCGCATGACAGCACCGACCTGCACGGAGGCTACGGAGAGGCCGAGCGCGTCATCCTCCGCCAGGAACCATGCTGACTTCTCCCTCAGCTGCGACGCTGATGACGCCAGGAAGCAGTAGTGCCGCCCACACAGGCTCAAGCCCTGGTGCAGAGACCACGCCAGGGGCGCAGGTGGGGTGGGGTGGAGGTGTGGGGGGGGACGATAGGATGAGAGGGAAGCTATGCAGGTAAGAAGCGGTGGACGAAGAGTGGGGGGAGAGTGAGGAGAAGAGCACTTGGCTGGCGTGAGGGCAAGGTGACGAGGTTGAAAAGGGGGAGAAGTCACACATGGGGAAGGGGAGGATAGGAAGGAGTGCAGCACACATGCATGAACCACGCTTCATCCCGTGCAGCATGCACTATGAACCCTGCACCCATGTGCACCGGACCCGTATCACCATGGCCGAACCCCTCCATCCATGCATCCTCGCACACGCTCGCATCGCAACCGGCAATCACGTGCGCCTCACCTCTTCCACGAGGCACAGAATGCGGCAGTACACATCGGTGTGTCCGGCCCCGCCCTCGCGCCTGCCCGCAGCGTCCATGAGGGCGAAGGAGGGCAGGTTCTCCAGGCCCTCGTCCGTGAAGGTGACGCGCAGGAAGCGGTGCGCGTGGGCGCGGTAGTGCGTGAGCACACGGTTGGTCAGCTCCACGCCCGGCATGCAGCACTGCGCACCCAGCGGTGTGATGAGCAGCCGGAACACCAGCACATGGTTTGCAGGTAGCTTCCACGGCCACGTGCTGCTCTCCCCCTCGCCCCCTTCCCCTGCCTTCTCCTCCGTGCCCCGATGTTCCTGCTGCGGCTGCGGCTGCTGCTGCGGCTGCTGTTGTTGCCGTTCCAGCTCTCCTATAGCTGAACCCTGCTGCTCTGCTCCCCTCTCACTCCGCTTCTCCCCCGTCCCCTCCGGTTCCTTGGCCCACCCCTTGTCAGTGCCCTCCCGTGCCTGCAGCTTGCCGTGGTGCCGCATGGCCCTGGCAATTTGCCGGAACTTCCTGGAGGGGTGAAACTCAGGGCGGGAGAAGCGGAAGAATTCGATGAGCACGGCCACGGCAGCGGGCACGGGCTCATATGCCAGAGTGCGGTACAGAGAGGCAGTCACGGCTGTGGGGGGGATGGTGCCCTGCTGCACCAGCGCTGTGAGCAGGTAGAGCACTGGAAAGGCCAGCACAACAGGCACCGCAGACCTGCTGCCACCGCTGCTGCCGCTGCTGCTGGCGGTTTTGGTGTTGGTGCTGTCAGGTGCGGTGGTGGCGGCGGTAATGGGTAGGCAGGAGGGGTCGAGGGAGATGAAGGGGGCGAGGTGGATGGGCGGGGCAGCAGCATAGCGGGTGGTGATGGCGACGCGCTGTGGGTCACCCAGGTAGCGTGCCCCGAGGTGCAGCGATGCGGTGCGCATGTGCGCTGCTATGCGCCTCACATGGCTGCCTCGCCTCACTGGCACCGACACCTGCATCACTGACGCCGCCCCCAACACACCCCCACTCCACACCCGCCCCTTCCACCCACTCCCCCCACCACTGCTTCCATCGCTACCAGCCCCGCCGTCCCACCGCCCCGCACCAGCGCTCCCCCCTCCGCCATCATCCCCAACGCTCGCATACGCGTCTGCTGCTGCGCTTGCACCGGCGCCCGCCCTTCCCCCTGCGGGGAGGAAGTGCTCATCAGTGGTGCGGGTCCAGGGGTCGCCGTCATCAGGGAACCAGCTGTCTGGCTCCAGCTGCCACACGTCGTCGTCACTCGCCCGCGAGAACACGGCGGGCGGCACAAAGAGCAGCAGCAGCAGCGAGGAGGTGAGGCCGGGCCCGTCCGTGTCACGCGTGGTGCTGTCCTTGGTGCCCCACAGGCGCACGTCCCGCATGCGCCACTCCAGCTTGTACTCCACTCGCTGGAACGCCAGGGGAATGGACGAGAGAGACGCACCAGCAGCAGGGAACGAGCCACCTGCATCCTCCTTTGCACCACCCGCCGCTTCTGCCGCCCGCCTTCCCCACCCCGCGCCACCCCTCCCGCGCGCGCCCGCTTTCTCCTGCACCACCACGCGCACGCGCCTCTCCAGAAAGTCAAACTCCACGCGGCAGCTCTCGGGCTTGGAGCGCCACGTCAGCGCGAGCTGGGCGGGCTGGTGAACGAAGCCGAGGTGCACGGTGGCGTGAAAGAGCAGCCCCTCGGGCGCTCGGCGCTGCTCCATGGTGCGCTGCAGGCCCAGCTGCTGCCCCTTGAGCACCAGCGCCTCCTCCCTCTGCATCACAAACTCCGCCACCTCTGCTGTTAGGAAGTCCGCGTACCCATACCCCGCTGACACCCACTCCTCCCTGTACCGCGTCCCACCCACCACCACTCCCTCCCCTGCGCCTGCTGCTGCGCCTGCTGCCCCTGCTGCCCCTCCACCGACCCCTGCGCCAGCTGTGCCTCTACCCACAGGCAGGGCGCGGATGCGGGTGTACCCCTTGATCTTCACGCGGTCCACTGTCACGCGCAGTGTGTCGCGCACGAACGCTGCCACTGTCGCAGCGGACGTGTCCGCTGGAATGCGGTCTATGCGGATCTGAGCTGACGGCCTGCGACTGCTCGGCCTCTGACCACCGCCCCTGGCGCTGCTGCCTCCGTTGCTAACGCCGTTGTTGCCAGCAGCACTGCTGTTACTGTTGCTGCCACTGGCGGTGGTAGGTCCAGTGGTGTTGGAGGGAAGCTGAGCGGCAGCAGCAGCAGAAGCAGCAGCTGTGGACGAGTCAGCATCGCTCTCCCCGCCCTCCCCCCCATCAGCCCCAGCGCCACCGTGCGTGGCAGGCCCGGGGGCGTGCAGGGCAGCGGGCCAGCCCATGGCGTGCACATCCGCAGCGAACGCGGCAGCAGCAGCAGGGCCGATGAGAGACACGAGAGCGGCGTCTAGGTGACTCAGGTGCGCGCTGCTGCCGCCACCACCACCACCACCGCGCATGCTGCTCGTCACTGCACTGCCTGTGCTCGTGCTAGCAGTGCTGCTGCCCCGCGGGAGAATCATGGCGCCCGCATGCGGTCCCCCCGCGCCTTCCACACTCGTGCTGCTCTCGCTCCCCCCGCGCCACCTCCCGCTGCCGCCCTCCCCACCGCCACCTCGCGCTCGTGGCTCCGTCCGCGCGTCAACGTTGCGCCAATCCGCGCCTTCCCTCGCATCCCACCGGCGCGCGGGTTCTTCTCCCGCTGCCAAGCCTCCGCCTGCTCGCGCGCCCCAGTCCCGCTGTGCCCGCCATGAGTCATGCCCGTCTGCACGCCCGCTCGCATGCCCGTAATCATGCCTATACTCATGCCTATTCGCATGCCTATTCTCGTGCCTGTAATCGTGCCTGTACTCATGCCTAGGCTCGTGCCCCCGCCCTTGCCGCTCTCTCGGCGCAAGCGGCTCCGCGGGGTCACGCCAGTGGCCGCGGCTGCTGGGCTCGCGGGGAGGGGCGAAGCTGGTATTTGCGCCAGCGGGACCTGCGGCGGCGGGCGCCGCGCGTCGGGAGGGAAACGCGCGGTCCACGCTCGCCGTGGCCGCCGCGGCTGCGGCAGCGGCGGCAGCGGCGACGGAAGAGACAGAGGAGAGGTGGGAAGAGTGCGCGAAGGGGAAGGAGCGCTCGGATTCTGCTGACATGGTCCCGACGGGTGCACGCGCGCAGTCACAGACAGGAAGAGGAGTTAGGGAGGCACAAAAGGGAGGAGAGGAGGCGAGGGAGCAAGGAGTAGGGAGAGGGATGTGAGGAGGTGGAGGTATTTTGGTCCTACCAAAAGCTGCCGCTCATCAGAGACGGGAAGGCAAAATTGCTGCTTCACCCAGCACACGGATTTGTGGCCTAAGTATTTCTCCTCGCTTGGTTGTCTTATGGGGAGAGTAGATAAACATGCCATATTTGAGTATAGAATACACATATTGGTTCTTGCACGGTAATTTCACTAAGAGGTAGAAAAGAGAAAGAATGGAACGAAAATATCTAAGGGAGAAAAGAGGTAGTAGTGGGTTTGTGTAAGGAGTTGTTTGACACACCTCAGCAACGCGTACAAGACCAACCGTTATCTTCGTCTGTTACTGTGTAAAGATGTTCGCCACTTCGCGCGTCGCTTTTGCCAAACTTCGCACTGCTGGACATGACCGAGTTGGGCTGCGCTTCGGGCCCGAACCTCGCTGCCCGCATCGCACTAGCTTGCGTTACCATTTGCAGTTGTCGGTATATATATTCATTCATGTCTTCGGTCACATTTGTACTCGTTTGCCAACCAAGTGCAATCCTCGCTTACTTGTTCCATTGCATTGCACCCTTAACTCTTGGTATCAGATCCACTTTCCTTTCGAACCGCGCATTTTTCCGCTGTTGGAGAAAGAAGAGAATCAACTTAAGCATTCCCCTAGGTGCAGCCATGTCGCATCCGTCACTATCGAAGCAGCACTAGTAGCAGTATCGGATCAGCCCGTATAAGGGCAGAAAGGTCCACAGTCGCAAAGGTCAACTGTCGCGACTGTTGACCATCTGGACCGAACGACTCACCAGCGAGGAATGGCAACAGGCGTAACTGTTCATACAGTTACACGCAGCGACTCGATAACAAGAGAAGAGCAATAGTTGTCAAAACATATTTGTATGTCCTTAGTTCTGCTAGGCTACAGTGAGGTGCTCAGTATAGAGTACAACCCTAGTTAGGGTTTCATACTTGTATCTCCCTGTTACTAGTCATTCACCATTCCTCAACATGGTATTAGAGCATGATCGTTCCTAGGGCCCACCGAACGTTCCGCCCTGCCTTGCCCGTAAATTTTTTCTGCCTTGCCCTGCAGCCCGCGCGCCGCGCTGCCCTGCCCTTAGGCCCGCCCGCAGCCCTGCGCTGCAGCTCGCGCGCTGCGCTGCCCTGCCCTTAGGCCCGCGCGCCGCCCTACCCTGCAGCCCGCGCGCCGCCCTGCCCTTAGGCCCGCGCCACCCTCCCCTTAGGCCCGCGCTCGCCCCTGCAGCCCGCGCTCGCCCCTGCAGCCCGCGCTCGCCCCTGCACCCGCGCTCGCCCCTGCAGCCGCACTCGCCCCTGCAGCCCGCGCGCTGCCCAGCCCTGCGGCCCGCGTGCCTCTGCTGCCCTGCGCCCTGCGTGCGCCCTGCAGCCCGTGCTGACCTACCGCCCGCGTGCCTGCGCTGCCCGCGTGCCTGCGCTGCCCGCGCACTACTGTTAGCTCGTGTCCTGCTACCCACGCACAGCCACTCCTACAGTCGCTACTGCTGTTGCACCCACAGCGATCACCGCCACTGCTACAGCTGCAGCTACAACAGTTGCTACTCACGCCCTTGCGCCGCTGCCACTAACTACCACTGCCTGTCATGGCCACTATCACTATCATGGACACTCCATCACCGCAGCAGCTTTGCGAGTAAGTTATTTAGCGAGGCCGTCCTGGTGGTGGAGGTTATCGTGCTGGAGGTGCTAGAGGTGCTGGACAGCAGAGGCAGCCCGCGCACCCGGACACTCTCTCGCCACAGCAGATTCGTGGTGGAGGTTATGGTTTTATGGGTACTGGACTACGGCGGCGGCAGCTTCAGCAGGAGACCTTCTCCCCGCAGTGGCTTCGCGACAGTGTTTCTCAGCGAGGCGTCCCTGGTTGTGTGGAGGCTGCTGCTCTAGGTGCTAGTGAGTCTGCTGCCGCTCTAGGTGCTGGTGAGTGTGTTGCATCTCTAGGTGCTAGTGCGTCTACCGCCACTGGTCCTGCCTCAGCTGAGGCCTTGCACACTTTCACACTTGACTCAGGCGCGTCACGCTGCTTCTTTCGTGATTGCACCACAGTCACACCGCTCGCAGAACTTGGTGAGCAACGCAGTCCTTCACGATGTATGGGTTGATACCTTTATCCCTGGGGGACAGCGAGTGGCGATCTGTACGTGCTCCCTGACCGGTCGTCACCTTGCTATGTTCACTCGGCAGCCTGGGTCCAGTATGTATACACTGACCACTGCGTCTGCCCAGGAACCTGCGTTAGGTCAGGTGGCTGCGTCGAGTCAGGTGTCTGCGTCTGGTCAGCTTGCAGCGTCTTGCTCGTGTCGGGTACTTTCCCACCAGACTCTCCTCTGGCACCACCGACTCGGTCACCCCTCTCTGCCTCGTCTGCGCAGCATGCACTCCCTGTTAGAATAGTAGCTTGACTTAGGAACCATGGTTAGGAAGGATGTCGAGAGAATTTTGGGTGAGGAAAAGTCGAGAAGGAGAATGAGGGGTTTCACTATAGAAAGTTGGGATACAAATAGCAAACCCTAAATTGGGTTGTACTCACTACAGAGTACCCCACTGCAGGCTAGACAGCAAATACATTCTGACACACCCCCATAGTCAAAGTGGGGTATAATCAGTAGAGCAAGCAGTCATAGAACAGGTTCACTAGTACAAGCAAAGCTAGAGGCATTCACAAAGGGCAAGTGAGGAGGAGGAGGCTAGACTGTGAGAGGAGAGGAGATAGGAGGCGACGCCTGATGTTGCAGACACACGGGCAACAGGAACGGCGCGCACAGTGGCTACTGGAGCAAGGGCCCCGGACTACAGGAGTAACTGGCTCTGCGGCTAACTCTGAGCGGCAGGAGCAACGGACCCACGGGCGACAGGCGCAGCAGGCTCTCTGAGCTACTAGAAGCAGAGCCCCGGACTACAGGTGCTGCGGACGACAAGACGGCAGCCTCCGCTCAACCTCCCCCAACTGTCCCACCCCCCTTTCACACACCCCTTGCTGCACCCCTAGCTCCACTCCCACGTCACCCCCCTAGCACCACTCCCTCAGCTCCCACACACCCACCCCCCTCAGCGACAGCTGCAGCAGTGGGAGACGGAGGAGGAGGAGGAGCAGGGGATGGTTCACACACCCGCCACCCCCATACCCTCCCCCACTGCTGCACCTGCAGCAGGGGATGGAGGAGAAGGGAGGGGCGGGGGGGCTGGTGCTGCAGATCCCCTCCCCCCAACTGCTGCACCCGCAGCAGGGGGAGGTAGGAGAAGGGAGGGGGGGGGGGGGGGGGGGGGGGGGGGGGCTGGTGCTGCAGATCCCCTCCCCCCCACTGCCGCACCCGCAGCAGGGGGGATGGAGGAGAAAGGGGGGGGGCGGTGCAGGAGCCACCCGGGCGACAGCAGGACGCGCCACACCCGCCACCCCCATACCCTCCCCCCCACTGCTGCACCCGCAGCAGAGAGATGGAGGAGAAGGGGGGGCGGAGGGGGCTGGTACTGCAGATCCCCTCCCCCCCACTGCCGCACCCACAGCAGGGGGATGGAGGAGAAAGGGGGGGGGCAGGGGGGGGGGGGCGGTGCAGGAGCCGCTCGGGCGACAGCAGGACACGCCACACCCGCCACCCCCATACCCTCCCCCCCACTGCTGCACCCGCAGCAGAGAGATGGAGGAGAAGGGGGGGGGCGGAGGGGGCTGGTACAGCAGATCCCCTCCCCCCCACTGCCGCACCCGCAGCAGGGGGATGGCAGATCCCTTCCCCCCCACTGCTGCACCCGCAGCAGGGGGAGGTAGGAGAAGGATGAGGGGGGGAGGGGGGGGGGGGGTCGGTGCTGCAGATCCCCTCCCCCCCTCTGCTGCACCCGCAGCAGGGGGAGGTAGGAGAAGGGTGGGGGGGCTGGTGCTGCAGATCCCCTCCTGCCTCCCCCTGAACCTCCAAGCTCCCCCCCCTCTCCCAACACAAGGTGCGGCAGGGAGAGGGAGAGGAGGAGGCGTGGCGGCAGCTGCTGCTGCTGAGGCACATCCGCCACCCCTTCACACCCTCTCCCCGCCGTCCCCATGGAGGGGGGGGAGGGGGGCGGGGGCGGAGCTGCGCGTACGACTGTAGGGCACGCGGGCAGGAAGAACCCTCTCTTGCCACCCCCTCACCCACCATGTTGCAACAGGGCACCGGGGCCGCGGTTAGGGGCGGCAGGTCGCGAGGGGCCATGGCTAGGGGCGACGGGGCCATGGCTAGGGACGGGGCCGGGCGCTGGGCAGGTACGGGGCCGGGCGCTGGGCTAGGGACGGGGCCAGGCGCTGGGCAGGTACGGGGCCGGGTGCTGGGCTAGGTACGGGCCGGGCGCGGGCTAGGTACGGGGCCGGGCGCTGGGCGAGGGACGGGGCCGGGCGCTGGGCAGGTACGGGGCCGGGCGCGGGCTAGGTACGGGGCCGGGCGCTGGGCTAGGTACGGGGCCGGGCGCGGGCTAGGTATGGGGCCGGGTGCGGCCTAGGTACGGGGCCGGGCGCTGGGCAGGTACGGGGCTGGGCGCTGGGCTCTGAACTGGGGCCGAGGGGCCTAGGGGGCCGAGGGGCCAAACAAGGGGGGCCGAGGAGGCCGAGCCTAGGGGCCGAGGCTAGGGGCCGTGGGGCCAAACAAGGGGGGCCAAGGAGGCCGAGCCTAGGGGCCGAGGCTAGGGGCCGTGGGGCCAAACAAGGGGCCGGGCGCGGGCTAGGTACGTGGCTGGGCGCCGGCGAGGTAAAGGGCCAGGCGTGGGCTTGGTACGGGCCGGGCGCTGGCTAGGGACGGGCCGGGCGCGGGCTAGGTACAGGGCCAGGCGCGGGCGAGGTACAGGCCGGGCGCGGGCATGGGACGGGGCCGTGCGCAGGCTAGGTACGGGCCGGGCATGAGCTAGGTACGGGTCGGGCGCGGGGCTAGGAACGGGCCGGGCGCGGGCTAGGTACGGGCCGGGCGACGGGCTAGGTACGGGCCGGGCGCAGGCAGGAGACGGGGCCGGGCGCGGGCTAGGTACGGGCCAGGCGACGGGCTAGGTACGGCCCGGGCGACGGGCGCGAGACGGGGCCGGGCGCGGGCTAGGTACGGGCCGGGCGACGAGCTAGGTACGGGCCGGGCGACGGGCTAGGTACGGGCCGGGCGCGGGCAGGAGACGGGGCCGGGCGCGGGCTAGGTACGGGCCGGGCGCGGGGCTAGGAACGGGCCGATCGCGGGCTAGGTACGGGCCGGGCGCGGGCGCGAGACGGGGCCGGGCGCGGGCTAGGTACGGGCCGATCGCGGGCTAGGTACGGGCCGGGCGCGGGCGACGGAGTCGACGGGGCCAGCGGGGCCGAGGGGCACAGCTAGGGGCGACGGGGCCAAGGGGCCGAGCCTAGGGGCTAGGGGCGACGCCAAGGGGCGACAGGCCGGAGGCTAGGCTAGCAGGGCATTAGGTGGTGGGCCCATTAATGTGAGGTCCTAGGAACTATTGCTCTTAATACCATGTTTGAATAGTAGCTTGACTTAGGAACCATGGTTAGGAAGGATGTCGAGAGAATTTTGGGTGAGGAAAATTCGAGAAGGAGAATGAGGGGTTTCACTATAGAAAGTTGGGATACAAATAGCAAACCCTAAATTGGGTTGTACTCACTACAGAGTACCCCACTACAGGCTAGACAGCAAATACATTCTGACACTCCCGTCTCCTTGTCTCTAGCCTTCCCAGGTCTCTGCCCCCCCTCCCGCGCTCGCCTGCCCCGCCGTGCCTTCCCTGCGTCGAGGGGCGGCAGCGCGCCGCTCCTCACTCCTCCGAGTTTCCTCCGACCACTACTCCTCTGCAGACTCTCCACATGGACGTGTGGGACCCCGCCCGCGTCTGTGGGACGGACCAGGAGCGCTACTTCCTGCTGGTCGTTGACGACTACACGCGCTACACGACCGTGTTCCCCTTGAGCAGCAAGGCGGACGTCAGCAGTGTTTTGATCCCCTAGATCCGCGCTACTCGTCACCAGCTGTGCGAGCGGTTTCGGCGGGACCGTCCAGTCCTGCGTCTAAACTCTGACAGGGGCGGTGAGTTCTCTTCCGGCCTCCTTGCGGAATTATGTCGGGCCGAGGGTATCGTCTAGTCGTTCACGCTTCCGGCCTCTCCGCAAAAAAATGGGATCGCTGAGCGTCGCATTGGCTTGATCATGGAGGTTGCTCGTACCTCCATGATCCATGCGGCTGCTCCCCATTTTATGTGGCCGTTTGCGGTCCGATACGCTGCGCATCAGCTTAATCTCTGGCCCTGTGTCTCTTTGCCAGAGACCTCGCTCACACTCCGTTGGACGGGGGAGGTTGGCGATGCGTCGACGTTTCAGGTCTGGGTCGGGCTCTCCCTTGTCCGCGATACCACCGCGAGCAAGCTCTCTCCTCGCACTCTCCGCTGCGCCTTCCTGGGCTTCCCCACCGACGCCCTGCCTTGGCAGTTTTACCACCCTGCCTCGCGTCGAGTTCTGTCCTCCCAGGACGTCACCTTTGACGAGCCGGTCTGCTTCTACCGGTTCCACCCGCACTCGTCCCACCCGGCCCCCCCGCCGCCCCTCTTCCTGGTTCCACTTCCCCCCCCGATAGACCCCCTCCCCCCACAGGGTCCTTCTCTCTCAGGTGTGTGTCAGAATGTTATAGTGCTTACATTTGTGTAGGCTATAGTGGGGTATCTCATAAGGGGTACAACCCAATAAGGGTTAGTACTTGTACCCAACTCTTTCATAGTTTATTCATTCTCGTTCGTTATTCTGACATGGTTTCAGAGCAGGTCCTTCGCTAGGACTGTTTTTTTTCCTTGGGCCCGCCACACGCTACCCCACTAGCAGCCCCTAGCGGCCCTCGTGCCGCCCCTACTGCCTCGCGCGCCGCCCTCGTGCGTCTTGTCGCCCCTAGGCCGGCCCGTAGCCCCTAGCCCGGCGCGTAGGCCCGTCGCCCCTAGACTGGCCCGTCGCTCCTAGCCCGGCCTGTCGCCCCTAGGCCGGCCTGTCGCTCCTAGCCCGGCCCGTTGGCCCGTCGCCCTAGCCTGGCCCGTCGCCCTAGCTCGGTCCGTCGCTCCTAGCCCGGCCTGTTGCCCTAGCCCGGCCCGTCGCCCCTAGTTCGCCCCTGGCCCCGCGGCCCGTCGCCCCTAGGCCGGCCCGTCGCCGCTCGCCCTTCACCCTCAAAGTTTCACAATTTTTAAAGCAGTTTACAAGGCATGGCAACATTTTTTACTTTCAAGACTTATGGCATCCCGGAAGTGTGTGTTACTTTTTTTTTGTAACACCCGAGTTCACCATTTCGGCTGCTGACTCATCTACCAAGCTCTGATGGGTCTGAAAATCGGTGTGGCAGTTCTTTGCCGTGTTGTTCAGGTGGTCACCGAGTTTCAGGACAACCCAGCATCGGAGCAGCACGTGACAGCTGTCGAAAGTTACTGTTCCGTAGTCATGGTGCACTGTTGGCAGCATTTCCCTTGCCACCCTTTCATTGTTGTGATGCCAATGGTGCAGGGACAGAGAATGAGACAGAAGTACAGGTGGTCAAGTGGGACTCTACCACCCTCCTTTTGAGAAGTGTGGTCTTCCTGGAAGCAGCTTGCAAGAGGGTGCAAGTGGGAAGACAAGCTGACTCATGGTTGGCTTGACTCACTATTGGTAGCCTTGAGTACAGCTCTGAACATCCAAGTGTGGTTGGCTTAGCTGACCTAGCTAGGAAGTTTCCCATCCTTCTCTAGCCTTTCTCCCCTAGGACTCAACCTTCTCTGAGTTCCCAGGATGGTCCCAACCCCTTAAGAGTCCCCTAGGCAATGTTGTACTCACTTCTTCCTTGCATCAATGAAACTACACGTTTTCAGCCGAGCTTAAGTTTTTGTTCACTGCATAGCGCATACACCTCTAATGAAAGCAAACAATATACCGTTGAAAATCAGACACCCGAAGCTAACTTCTCTCCAAGTTTCAGCTTCGTATATTATTGGAGCTGATCGTGACGGCGTTTTGAACAGAGGCGGTTTGAAGTCATCAGATTCTGCTTAGGCGGTTTCAAGGACATCCGCGACCCCTAAGTGGACTCTAGACTATAACACATCGGGCATGGAGCTCGTGCTTGGAGGACGAGGTTCAGTGGTACTCACAGGACACTCCGACGCTTCTTGGGCCGACGACCAGGCGACTGAGCAGTCGTCACAGGGTTACACCTTCAGTCTTGGCTCTTGTTTTGTCTCGTGGAGGTCCACCCGTTCTTCTTCTGTGCTTCGTTCTAGCTGTGAGGCCGAGATCTATGCTGGGGCTATGGCTGCACAGGAGCTACGCTGGCTGACCTACCTGCTGACCGACTTGGGGGAGCGGCCTCGTTCTCCTCTTGTTCTGTACGTCGACATCAAGGCCATGCTTGCCTTGTGTCACGAGCTGAGACTGGAGCACAGAACGAAGCACATTGCTCTTCGCTACTTTCTTGCTCGAGAGCTGCAGCAGCGTGGTCAGCTTCGCCTTTCCTTTGTGGCCTCTCGGGCCAACACTACTGATGTCTTCACCAAGGCCCTCGGGTCTGGTGATCATCAGCGTTTTTGCATTGCTCTTGGGCTTCTGCCCGTTCTGCCTCACCTGCTTGTCTCTTGATCTTGCACTTGTTGTACACTGTTATCTATATTTATACCTGCATGTTTACTCTTGTTAGGTTGTGTTCACTGTACTGTTTGCTTTCCTTTATATAACTCTGCATGTGAACTGGCCTTGTGGCTGCTTGCTTGTGCTAAGAAGGAGTGGTGATCTTGAGATCCAGCCTTGGCGTTGCATTGCTTTGTTCTTTTGCCTGACTGGTCTTATGACCGTTTTTTGTGTTGGCTATCCCTCAATTTGCCTAGGGGGGTGTGTCTAAACATATTTGCGTGTTCTTAGTTTTGCTAGGCTACAGTGAGGTGCTCAGTATAGAGTACAACCCCAGTTAGGGTTTCATACATGTATCTCCCTGTTGCTAGTCATTCACCATTCCTATTTTCCTATCTCAAAAATAGTCAGAGTCACTGTAGAACTGCCTGCAAAACAGTTAGAATAAGGGAATGTACCCCTTAGAGTATATGACTAGTTAGATCTATTTATTGTGTGTAATCTTATCCTTTTTGTCAAATTGCATTTGTTATCTCTAGGCTAGAGTGGGGCATACTCTAAAGAGTGCAACACTTCAGGTCATTCCTAGTACTTGTACTCATTCTTTTCTACTAGTCAATCATTCATACGATTTTTTTCTGACAT